TTGAAATGCACCTGCATTTTGAATGCATTCATCCAGTTTTGGCAATGAAATTAATACACTCGTAAGTTTCACCATTGCTTTAACAACAATATGAAAGTACTTGTACACAGTACTTTTATGTACTCAAAATACATCCCCAATCACTCGATACTCGGCACAGGTCGCCAGTTTGTATACGCAAATCGCAACTTGTTTCTCCAGAGGAACTGGAACGGTTAAAAACATGCTCTGCCCCGGACGTAGCAATTCGCACAGTTCGAAAAATGAACTCTTTGACATCCTTAAGTTCTCAAAAAACAAATTTTTCATTTTTAGGCTCTTGCATAAGTGACAAAAATTCATTGCTTCTTGGCCTGCTCCTGAATCTTCGCACTCTAGGTGTCCTCAGGCTGAGAGTCGCGGTTGCAGACGGGTACACCTGCATCAGCATCCTGTGACTCCTAGCCACCAAAAACCGCCTCACTTTTAATAAAGCCATCGATCTTCTGTGCCTCCACACAGCGACTTTGGAAATTAATTTTCCGGTTCTTATTGCAAATGAAGAATTTAACGTTATCCATCGCGTTGTTTGGTTTGTTTACTTTTTGCGAAAGTGTGACCAGACTAAAATACCTAATTTTTTACGTCTGGCATCTCTACTGAAATCAAATCATGAATTGATATGTGTAGCATAAACAGGGATTGTTTTTATATCGCGCTTTAAAGAAATCGCGATTCCCATAGCATAAACATAGTAATAGAGCTCCTCGTGAATATAAAATAGGTGATTATGTGGCTATTCGTAATGTCGATACTACAGCAGATGTAAACAAGAAGTTTGCCCCAAAATATCGTGGGCCATATATGAGAAGCCGTGTTTTTGATAATGATCGATATGAAGTTGTTGATATTGATGATTGTCAATTAACTCAATTGCCATTTAAAAGCATGTTGGATCTGTAGTCATGTTGGCCGAATGTAAATAGTGAAAATATCTTATTTTAATAGACGTAAGAGAATGCCCCATGTAAATATCGATAACAAGCGTTGAATAATTCGATGAAGCACGAGAGGGAAAGTGCGATCACTAAGAAGAGGACGAGGATATTGACAAGACACGAGAACCGGGAATAAGTTAACATAAAGTGAAATTAAAAGCTTTACATATCGGGTGCGGAGTTGAAAGGCCGTAAAAGCTGTAATAACTCGGCTATGAGATACAAGGACATAATAAAGAGTTCGAAATCTGAGTTTAAAGCTATCCAAGACCGAAACAGCGTGTTAGCTGTGAAGGCCATTATGGACCGTCTGGAATCAGCAAAACTGGAGGGGCTGAACCAGGGGGAATCGGGGCTGAGTGAAATCTCGCCTGGGGAGCCAACATTTTCGAGCCCGGGAGATGACGCTTGTGTTGGTAGTGAAAACAAACATGAGCAAGAAAGGGACGACCATAGTATACCGGCAAAGTGGCGTCTGAAGAATATCTGGAAGTTTCTGGCGTGGCGGCTGCGGTCTTGCAGCGGCGTGATCAACTGGTGGCGTCTGAAGAATTTTTGGAAGCTTCTGGCATGGCGGCTGCGGACGTGCAGCGGCGTGATCAAGTGGCGGAAAACGATGAGGCAGAAATCCAACATTTGCAACAAATCGAGAAGCTGTATGTTGCGCGTAAATGGGTGGCTGACTTAGAAAATTCGTTGAGCCAAAATGAACCCGCTCGAGGACATGGCATCGACATGAATGATTTGGGTGCGTTAATTACAGTGTATCGGAGAAACAATGATTTATTTTCGCCATACGTTTGCTTAGGAGATCTGCGAGGTCGTTCATGATTGAGACGGCAGCCCTAACTTGGCCAGCACTGCGAACCGAATTGATAGCTGTATTCGACCTCAAGGTTAAGGTTTAAAACTGGTTAGAGAAATTATCATCCGATTCATCATGGAAGGCTTGGAAGAAAATTCGGGAGCCGCGTTTGCAATGGCTAACTGTAGTTCTTTGGACGACTTGCGGAAGAAATTATGATCTACGATAACTCAAAGTAGACGCTTGGAAAGATTTCAAAGTTGGAGAAGCAAACTAAACGGAAGTCCAATTTCCAGTCGACCAGAAGGCAGGATTCTGAAGCCTCTCGCTGCTACAACTGTCGGCAAATGGGACATTTTGATAGATTGTAGACAACCCAAAATGCCGGAAGGGGTCTGCTTTAACTGCTACAGCACAAAGTATCAGTAACGCCCCAAGCGGAAGACGAAAACTATGGTGGCAGCCGTGCAGGAGTTCGTAGGTTCGTAGGAGTTGGCAGCAATTCAAGCAATTGAATTATGACGATTGCGAGGTGAAAAGGGAAAATACATACGCATTGCCAGCACAGTGAAGTGCTTTGATCATTTTTGTTCAACAACGTACTAGATCTTGTTAAAAATAGTCGATGATAATATTCTGCCATTACCTGTGTTATTAGATAGAGACTCGCTAAAGATAATCGAAGTTCAATTAGTTCATAAAAAAACAAGGAAGAACGCTAAAGTCGAGTATCTCGACTATCAGATACCCGTTACTCAGCTAAAGGGACCAAAGGGAAATGGAGATATGCAAGCAGCAAAGCGAGATTAAAATACGCCACCCACCGGCGGTAGACAGATTTAAGCGTTATGGGCGTTAGAGTTGGCGTGGATCAATCTATAGGTATTGACGAGACCAATACATTTCAGTTAAAATTTTTTATCTAGCATGAAAATTGTAAGCGTCACAGGCTTGGGCGGTTTGTGGGTGTTAAATCGATGGCTTCGATGACCTGGCCAATGAAGTCTTCTACTGTTGATGCACCTGAACTCCTGGTAGAGACATCTATGCCTAGGAGCCGCCAAACTTCAAGTAAGCATATTAATTATCATTAACGGTAACACGATGGTAATTTTTAATGATTTCACTTCATTTTTAAATAAGGCAATCGTCGTGCAGATGGTTCAGAAGATGTCAAACGACAACAAGGAGGCGTTGGACATGCTGGAGGTGCAGAACCAGGAGTTCCTTGAGGCTCAACGGGAAATCGACGCCACCTTTGTGCAGAGCATGCGCGATGTTCTTGCGGAGGATCGGGCCGAGACCCAAAGATTCATGCGAGTGTTCTTCAACTCCAATTAAAGCTGAAATGTTTCGAAACAAAACTAAAAGTGCAATTTTCTTTTATATTGAACTGCTTCGCAAAGGAAAGTTAGATACAATGTATTCCTTAATGTGTTCCCTAAGATCAGATGGATCTCATTCAGGAGATTCCAATACTTTGCTGGTTACTTTCATATTCGTTGATTGGCGTAAACTTCTGCTTTCTTATTTCCACGAAGTTATGAAGTACATATCATGTTTATAATCGGTATCTACTCTTTTGGCCAGGCACCTCCAGCGTCCTATCAATCGACCAAAGGCATTCACCACTACAATTCTGCCCGAGCTAAGGTAGCAGTTGAACGACTCTTCCTGTTAGGTATCCAGTATATGGTTTTAGAAGCCACGGTAGCAATGGGTATGCAGGATCTCTTATGATAATGAAGGGAATCTTTTTGTTGCCCACCAGTTTTACAAGTTCCGAAATAATTCGGCTATGGTTCTTGAAAATTCCAGATTCTTTAAAGACCGTCGCGTCGTGGACACTTCCTGGCAATTTCATGCTGACGTCTCTAAACCTAAAAATAAATAATATTTGGAATAAAAACCAATACCTAAATATGGTTTTACTTACAAGTAATTGTTGTCAACTACAGCTTGCATGACCATCGATGTCCATCCCTTGCGATTAACGAAATCCATGTAGCCAATCTTTGGGGCTTTAACAGGAATGTGTGTTCCTAAATAATTTTTACAAAGCGTTTATAATTTGTAATTAATATTCTAAAAGGCATTTTACCATCAATAGCTCCAATCACGTTAGGAATGTGACACATTTTTTGAAATGCACCTGCATTTTGAATGCATTCATCCAGTTTTGGGAATGAAATTAATACACTCGTAAGTTTCACCATTGCTTTAACAACAATATGAAAGTACTTGTACACAGTACTTTTATGTACTCAAAATACATCCCCAATCACTCGATACTCGGCACAGGTCGCCAGTTTGTATACGCAAATCGCAACTTGTTTCTCCAGAGGAACTGGAACGGTTAAAAACATGCTCTGCACCGGACGTAGCAATTCGCACAGTTCGAAAAATGAACTCTTTGACATCCTTAAGTTCTCAAAAAACAAATTTTTCATTTTTAGGCTCTTGCATAAGTGACCAAAATTCATTGCTTCTTGGCCTGCTCCTGAATCTTCGCACTCTAGGTGTCCTCAGGCTGAGAGTCGCGGTTGCAGACGGGTACACCTGCATCAGCATCCTGTGACTCCTAGCCACCAAAAACCGCCTCACTTTTAATAAAGCCATCGATCTTCTGTGCCTCCACACAGCGACTTTGGAAATTAATTTTCCGGTTCTTATTGCAAATGAAGAATTTAACGTTATCCATCGCGTTGTTTGGTTTGTTTACTTTTTGCGAAAGTGTGACCAGACTAAAATACCTAATTTTTTACGTCTGGCATCTCTACTGAAATCAAATCATGAATTGATATGTGTAGCATAAACAGGGATTGTTTTTATATCGCGCTTTCAAGAAATCGCGATTCCCATAGCATAAACATAGTAATAGAGCTCCTCGTGAATATAAAATAGGTGATTATGTGGCTATTCGTAATGTCGATACTACAGCAGATGTAAACAAGAAGTTTGCCCCAAAATATCGTGGGCCATATATGAGAAGCCGTGTTTTTGATAATGATCGATATGAAGTTGTTGATATTGATGATTGTCAATTAACTCAATTGCCATTTAAAAGCATGTTGGATCTGTAGTCATGTTGGCCGAATGTAAATAGTGAAAATATCTTATTTTAATAGACGTAAGAGAATGCCCCATGTAAATATCGATAACAAGCGTTGAATAATTCGATGAAGCACGAGAGGGAAAGTGCGATCACTAAGAAGAGGACGAGGATATTGACAAGACAGGAGAACCGGGAATAAGTTAACATAAAGTGAAATTAAAAGCTTTACATATCGGGTGCGGAGTTGAAAGGCCGTAAAAGCTGTAATAACTCGGCTATGAGATACAAGGACATAATAAAGAGTTCGAAATCTGAGTTTAAAGCTATCCAAGACCGAAACAGCGTGTTAGCTGTGAAGGCCATTATGGACCGTCTGGAATCAGCAAAACTGGAGGGGCTGAACCAGGGGGAATCGGGGCTGAGTGAAATCTCGCCTGGGGAGCCAACATTTTCGAGCCCGGGAGATGACGCTTGTGTTGGTAGTGAAAACAAACATGAGCAAGAAAGGGACGACCATAGTATACCGGCAAAAGGCGACAAAGTAGTGGCGTCTGAAGAATATCTGGAAGTTTCTGGCGTGGCGGCTGCGGTCGTGCACCGGCGTGATCAAGTGGTGGCGTCTGAAGAATTTTTGGAAGCTTCTGGCATGGCGGCTGCGGACGTGCAGCGGCGTGATCAAGTGGCGGAAAACGTTGAGGCAGAAATCCAACATTTGCAACAAATCGAGAAGCTGTATGTTGCGCGTAAATGGGTGGCTGACTTAGAAAATTCGTTGAGCCAAAATGAACCCGCTCGAGGACATGGCATCGACATGAATGATTTGGGTGCGTTAATTACAGTGTATCGGAGAAACAATGATTTATTTTCGCCATACGATTGCTTAGGAGATCTGCGAGGTCGTTCATGATTGAGACGGCAGCCCTAACTTGGCCAGCACTGCGAACCGAATTGATAGCTGTACTCGACCTCAAGGTTAAGGTTAAAAACTGGTTAGAGAAATTATCATCCGATTCATCATGGAAGGCTTGGAAGAAAATTCGGGAGCCGCGTTTGCAATGGCTAACTGTAGTTCTTTGGACGACTTGCGGAAGAAATTATGATCTACGATAAATCAAAGTAGACGCTTGGAAAGATTTCAAAGTTGGAGAAGCAAACTAAACGGAAGTCCAATTTCCAGTCGACCAGAAGGCAGGATCCTGAAGCCTCTCGCTGCTACAACTGTCGGCAAATGGGACATTTTGATAATTGTAGACAACCCAAAATGTCGGAAGGGGTCTGCTTTAACTGCTACAGCACAAAGTATCAGTAACGCCCCAAGCGGAAGACGAAAACTATGGTGGCTGCCGTGCAGGAGAACGCGGGATCTGGTTCGTAGGAGTTGGCAGCAATTCAAGCAATTGAATTATGACGATTGCGAGGTGAAAAGGAAAAATACATACGCATTGCCAGCACAGTGAAGTGCTTTGATCATTTTTGTTCAACAACGTACTAGATCTTGTTAAAAATAGTCGATGATAATATTCTGCCATTACCTGTGTTATTAGATAGAGACTCGCTAAAGATAATCGAAGTTCAATTAGTTCATAAAAAAACAAGGAAGAACGCTAAAGTCGAGTATCTCGACTATCAGATACCCGTTACTCAGCTAAAGGGAAATGGAGATATGCAGCAAAGCGAGTTGGTGTTAGAGTTGGTGTGGCAAATTTTTTTTTTTGGATCAGTCGATAGGTATTGACGAGACCAATACATTTCAGATAAAATTTTTTATCTAGCATGAAAATTGTAAGCGTCACAGGCTTGGGCGGTTTGTGGGTGGTAAAATGGGCGTAGCAAACTTTTTTTGGGTCCATCGATAAGTATTGATGAGAACAATACACTTCAGTTAACATTTTTATTCTAGCATCAAAACTGTAGGAGCCACAGTTTTGGGCGGCTTGTGGGCGTAAGAGTGGGCGTGGTTCATTGCTGAGAGAAACTTGCGCTGCGTAAGAAGCTCAGGAATCTACACGCCAAATCTCAATAGCCTAGCTCTTATAGTTTCCGAGATCTCAGCGTTCATCCAGACAGACGGACATGGCTAGATCGACTCGGCTAGTGATCCTGATCAATAATATATATACTTTATGGGGTCGGAAACGCTTCCTTCTGCCTGTTACATACTTTCCGACGAATCTAGTATACCCTTTTACTCTACGAGTAACTGTTATAAACATCAATCAATACTGATAAATCAAAATTTGCTTCTCTTTTCACCGCTCATATAAATTCTACACGTAATATAAGTAAAAATACTTATAAACCTGTTAATGTTAGTTCTAATCACAACTTTGACAATGCGAATTCTGAAGAATTTTTGGATATTGAAGGCGATGCGCAAAAATTAGAGAGGATTTATTTGAAATAGGAACTGAGTTTGGGCTCGAAGTAGCAGATAGGTGTCAGAAGCATATCAAATCTCATTATTTTAATGGCCCATATAACTTTAATACCAGACCTTGATATCGGATGTCCACTAGACTAACAGATACTACTCCGTTTTATTGTTCTCTAAGGCGCTTATCTTAATTTGAGAGAGAGAGAAAGTTGCGAAAACTATTGATGTTACTTAAAAATAACGTAATACGACCTAGCGTCTCACCTTATGCGTAACCTTTAGTCCTTCTGAAGAAAAAGTCTGCCGAAATTCGAATGTACGTTGACTACCGTGGTTTAAACAAACGTATAGTTAAATATAATTTTCCTTTGCCCGTTATTGAAGATTGCCTGGAGTATCTTGAGGGAAAATGGATTTCATCAAATAGAAGTGGAAGAAAAATCGGTACCACATACATCTTTTGTTACTCCTCAAGGACCTGAGAATGCCTTTTGGATTAAAGAATGGCCCTGCCGTGTTCCAATGATTCATCTCAGAAACGTTTTCAGATTTTATAAGAACGAAGAGTGTAGTAATCTATATGGATGAAATAGTTATTGCGACAAAAACCGTACAGGAGCATGTATAAATCTTGGGAAAACTTTTAGATCGCATTAGTGAAAACCATTTAGAGATAAATAAGAAATGTGTATTTGTAAAGAAAGAATGCGAGTTCCTAATGTACAGCGTTAATAATCTGAATGTTCATGCCCTTCACTCCAGTTTGGGAGTCTTTTTATATTTTAGACGTTTGGTTTTTTCATTTGCGCGGAAAGCTAGGTCATTGACAGATTTATTGACTGAGTGCGTTTAACAACTTGAAAAATGCTTTAGCTAACCCAACTGGTTTAGCCATTTATAGTCCCGGAACGGAAACTGAGCTTCATACTGATGCGAGTACCCATGGGTTTGGAGCTTTCCCGTTACAGCGACAAGAAAATAGTTTAACGAACTGATTTTTGTTGGTCTGCTCGCTGCGAGATTCCTGCCGCTAGCACAGAAGATTGTGTGTTCGTCCCACCAAATTTATATGATGCGACTGCCCCGTAGATCAGTAAGAAAACACGCGGTTCGAATGGTAACAGTGGGTTTTATTCTCGTGTTATTAATACAGCGGGTGTGTGGCTGGGCTGGCCTCGGTATCTCCTTGCTCTGGTTCCACAGGCTGCTGATGTTCCTCGTCCTGGCTTGTCGACGCGTTGACTTGATGACCGCTGGCTCCCGTGTCTCGGGATGCTCGTAGTGGCCGCCTCTGCTCGCTTGTCGACACGCTGCCTCGTGGTCGCACATCGATGTTTCGATGATTTTCAGAAAAAAACATCAATGTGAATCGATACATCGAATTTTTTTTTTGGGTGTAATTTTGAAAAACGTTTTTACTCCATATAACATTATAAACGAATACCACAAATAATCCCAATGTGTAAGATAATTATAAAAAATTATGCTTTATTTGAAATGAGTTTTCTGTTTTGAATTCCTGCACATTCAAAGTGAAACTTAAGCTACTCGTTCAACACAAAAATTTAAATTAAATCACAATTCAATTAAAAATATAATAAACAAGGAAGAACGCTATAGTCGAGCACCTCGACTATCAGATACCCGTTACTCAAAGGGAAATGGAGATATGCAAGCAGCAAAGCGAAATTAAAATGCGCCACCTACCGGCGGTAGACAGATTTAAGCGTTATGGGCGTTAGAGTGGGCGTGGCAAATTTATTTTTGGATCAATCGATAGGTATTGACGACACCAATACATTTCAGTTCAAATTTTTCATCTAGCATCCAAATTGTGGGCGTCACAGGTTTTCGCGGTTTGTGGGCGTTTAAGTGGGCGTTAGAGTTGGCGTGGATCAATCGATAGGTATTGACGAGACCAATACATTTCAGTTAAAATTTTTTATCTAGCATGAAAATTGTAAGCGTCACAGGCTTGGGCGGTTTGTGGGTGTTAAATCGATGGCTTCGATGAACTGGCCAATGAAGTCTTCTACTGTTGATGCACCTGAACTCCTGGTAGAGACATCTATGCCTAGGAGCCGCCAAACTTCAAGTAAGCATATTAATTATCATTAACGGTAACACGATGGTAATTTTAAATGATTTCACTTCATTTTTAAATAAGGAAATCGTCGTGCAGATGGTTCAGAAGATGTCAAACGACAACAAGGAGGCGTTGGACATGCTGGAGGTGCAGAACAAGGAGTTCCTTGAGGCTCAACGGGAAATCGACGCCACCTTTGTGCACAGCATGCGCGAAGTTCTTGCGGAGGATCGGGCCGAGACCCAAAGATTCATGCGAGTGTTCTTCAACTCCAATTAAAGCTGAAATGTTTCGAAACAAAACTAAAAGTGCAATTTTCTTTTATATTGAACTGCTTCGCAAAGGAAAGTTAGATGCAATGTATTCCTTAATGTGTTCCCTAAGATCAGATGGATCTCATTCAGGAGATTCCAATACTTGGTTACAATGCCAGTCTGGTGGTTGCTGGTTACTTTCATATTCGTTGATTGGCGTAAACTTCTGCTTTCTTATTTCCACGAAGTTATGAAGTACATATCATGTTTATAATCGGTATCTACTCTTTTGGCCAGGCACCTCCAGCGTCCTATCAATCGACCAAAGGCATTCACCACTACAATTCTGCCCGAGCTAAGGTAGCAGTTGAACGACTCTTCCTGTTAGGTATCCAGTATATGGTTTTAGAAGCCACGGTAGCAATGGGTATGCAGGATCTCTTAGGATAATGAAGGGAATCTTTTTGTTGCCCATCAGTTTTACAAATTCCGAAATAATTCGGCTATGGTTCTTGAAAATTCCAGATTCTTTAAAGACCGTCGCGTCGTGGACACTTCCTGGCAATTTCATGCTGACGTCTCTAAACCTAAAAATAAATAATATTTGGAAAAAAAACCAATACCTAAATATGGTTTTACTTACAAGTAATTGTTGTCAACTACAGCTTGCATGACCATCGATGTCCATCCCTTGCGATTAACGAAATCCATGTAGCCAATCTTTGGGGCTTTAACAGGAATGTGTGTTCCTAAATAATTTTTACAAAGCGTTTATAATTTGTAATTAGGAATGTGACACATTTTTTGAAATGCACCTGCATTTTGAATGCATTCATCCAGTTTTGGGAATGAAATTAATACACTCGTAAGTTTCACCATTGCTTTAACAACAATATGAAAGTACTTGTACACAGTACTTTTATGTACTCAAAATACATCCCCAATCACTCGATACTCGGCACAGGTCGCCAGTTTGTATACGCAAATCGCAACTTGTTTCTCCAGAGGAACTGGAACGGTTAAAAACATGCTCTGCCCCGGACGTAGCAATTCGCACAGTTCGAAAAATGAACTCTTTGACATCCTTAAGTTCTCAAAAAACAAATTTTTCATTTTTAGGCTCTTGCATAAGTGACAAAAATTCATTGCTTCTTGGCCTGCTCCTGAATCTTCGCACTCTAGGTGTCCTCAGGCTGAGAGTCGCGGTTGCAGACGGGTACACCTTCATCAGCATCCTGTGACTCCTAGCCACCAAAAACCGCCTCACTTTTAATAAAGCCATCGATCTTCTGTGCCTCCACACAGCGACTTTGGAAATTAATTTTCCGGTTCTTATTGCAAATGAAGAATTTAACGTTATCCATCGCGTTGTTTGGTTTGTTTACTTTTTGCGAAAGTGTGACCAGACTAAAATACCTAATTTTTTACCTCTGGCATCTCTACTGAAATCAAATCATGAATTGATATGTGTAGCATAAACAGGGATTGTTTTTATATCGCGCTTTCAAGAAATCGCGATTCCCATAGCATAAACATAGTAATAGAGCTCCTCGTGAATATAAAATAGGTGATTATGTGGCTATTCGTAATGTCGATACTACAGCAGATGTAAACAAGAAGTTTGCCCCAAAATATCGTGGGCCATATATGAGAAGCCGTGTTTTTGATAATGATCGATATGAAGTTGTTGATATTGATGATTGTCAATTAACTCAATTGCCATTTAAAAGCATGTTGGATCTGTAGTCATGTTGGCCGAATGTAAATAGTGAAAATATCTTATTTTAATAGACGTAAGAGAATGCCCCATGTAAATATCGATAACAAGCGTTGAATAATTCGATGAAGCACGAGAGGGAAAGTGCGATCACTAAGAAGAGGACGAGGATATTGACAAGACACGAGAACCGGGAATAAGTTAACATAAAGTGAAATTAAAAGCTTTACATATCGGGTGCGGAGTTGAAAGGCCGTAAAAGCTGTAATAACTCGGCTATGAGATACAAGGACATAATAAAGAGTTCGAAATCTGAGTTTAAAGCTATCCAAGACCGAAACAGCGTGTTAGCTGTGAAGGCCATTATGGACCGTCTGGAATCAGCAAAACTGGAGGGGCTGAACCAGGGGGAATCGGGGCTGAGTGAAATCTCGCCTGGGGAGCCAACATTTTCGAGCCCGGGAGATGACGCTTGTGTTGGTAGTGAAAACAAACATGAGCAAGAAAGGGACGACCATAGTATACCGGCAAAAGGCGACAAAGTAGTGGCGTCTGAAGAATATCTGGAAGTTTCTGGCGTGGCGGCTGCGGTCGTGCACCGGCGTGATCAAGTGGTGGCGTCTGAAGAATTTTTGGAAGCTTCTGGCATGGCGGCTGCGGACGTGCAGCGGCGTGATCAAGTGGCGGAAAACGTTGAGGCAGAAATCCAACATTTGCAACAAATCGAGAAGCTGTATGTTGCGCGTAAATGGGTGGCTGACTTAGAAAATTCGTTGAGCCAAAATGAACCCGCTCGAGGACATGGCATCGACATGAATGATTTGGGTGCGTTAATTACAGTGTATCGGAGAAACAATGATTTATTTTCGCCATACTATTGCTTAGGAGATCTGCGAGGTCGTTCATGATTGAGACGGCAGCCCTAACTTGGCCAGCACTGCGAACCGAATTGATAGCTGTACTCGACCTCAAGGTTAAGGTTAAAAACTGGTTAGAGAAATTATCATCCGATTCATCATGGAAGGCTTGGAAGAAAATTCGGGAGCCGCGTTTGCAATGGCTAACTGTAGTTCTTTGGACGACTTGCGGAAGAAATTATGATCTACGATAAATCAAAGTAGACGCTTGGAAAGATTTCAAAGTTGGAGAAGCAAACTAAACGGAAGTCCAATTTCCAGTCGACCAGAAGGCAGGATCCTGAAGCCTCTCGCTGCTACAACTGTCGGCAAATGGGACATTTTGATAGATTGTAGACAACCCAAAATGTCGGAAGGGGTCTGCTTTAACTGCTACAGCACAAAGTATCAGTAACGCCCCAAGCGGAAGACGAAAACTATGGTGGCTGCCGTGCAGGAGAACGCGGGATCTGGTTCGTAGGAGTTGGCAGCAATTCAAGCAATTGAATTATGACGATTGCGAGGTGAAAAGGAAAAAATACATACGCATTGCCAGCACAGTGAAGTGCTTTGATCATTTTTGTTCAACAACGTACTAGGTCTTGTTAAAAATAGTCGATGATAATATTCTGCCATTACCTGTGTTATTAGATAGAGACTCGCTAAAGATAATCGAAGTTCAATTAGTTCATAAAAAAACAAGGAAGAACGCTAAAGTCGAGTATCTCGACTATCAGATACCCGTTACTCAGCTAAAGGGAAATGGAGATATGCAGCAAAGCGAGTTGGTGTTAGAGTTGGTGTGGCAAATTTTTTTTTTTGGATCAGTCGATAGGTTTTGACGAGACCAATACATTTCAGATAAAATTTTGTATCTAGCATGAAAATTGTAAGCGTCACAGGCTTGGGCGGTTTGTGGGTGGTAAAATGGGCGTAGCAAACTTTTTTTGGGTCCATCGATAAGTATTGATGAGAACAATACACTTCAGTTAACATTTTTATTCTAGCATCAAAACTGTAGGAGCCACAGTTTTGGGCGGCTTGTGGGCGTAAGAGTGGGCGTGGTTCATTGCTGAGAGAAACTTGCGCTGCGTAAGAAGCTCAGGAATCTACACGCCAAATCTCAATAGCCTAGCTCTTATAGTTTCCGAAATCTCAGCGTTCATCCAGACAGACGGACATGGCTAGATCGACTCGGCTAGTTAGTTCTAATCACAACTTTGACAATGCGAATTCTGAAGAATTTTTGGATATTGAAGGCGATGCGCAAAAATTAGAGAGGATTTATTTGAAATAGGAACTGAGTTTGGGCTCGAAGTAGCAGATAGGTGTCAGAAGCATATCAAATCTCATTATTTTAATGGCCCATATAACTTTAATACCAGACCTTGATATCGGATGTCCACTAGACTAACAGATACTACTCCGTTTTATTGTTCTCTAAGGCGCTTATCTTAATTTGAGAGAGAGAGAAAGTTGCGAAAACTATTGATGTTACTTAAAAATAACGTAATACGACCTAGCGTCTCACCTTATGCGTAACCTTTAGTCCTTCTGAAGAAAAAGTCTGCCGAAATTCGAATGTACGTTGACTACCGTGGTTTAAACAAACGTATAGTTAAATATAATTTTCCTTTGCCCGTTATTGAAGATTGCCTGGAGTATCTTGAGGGAAAATGGATTTCATCAAATAGAAGTGGAAGAAAAATCGGTACCACATACATCTTTTGTTACTCCTCAAGGACCTGAGAATGCCTTTTGGATTAAAGAATGGCCCTGCCGTGTTCCAATGATTCATCTCAGAAACGTTTTCAGATTTTATAAGAACGAAGAGTGTAGTAATCTATATGGATGAAATAGTTATTGCGACAAAAACCGTACAGGAGCATGTATAAATCTTGGGAAAACTTTTAGATCGCATTAGTGAAAACCATTTAGAGATAAATAAGAAATGTGTATTTGTAAAGAAAGAATGCGAGTTCCTAATGTACAGCGTTAATAATCTGAATGTTCATGCCCTTCACTCCAGTTTGGGAGTCTTTTTATATTTTAGACGTTTGGTTTTTTCATTTGCGCGGAAAGCTAGGTCATTGACAGATTTATTGACTGAGTGCGTTTAACAACTTGAAAAATGCTTTAGCTAACCCAACTGGTTTAGCCATTTATAGTCCCGGAACGGAAACTGAGCTTCATACTGATGCGAGTACCCATGGGTTTGGAGCTTTCCCGTTACAGCGACAAGAAAATAGTTTAACGAACTGATTTTTGTTGGTCTGCTCGCTGCGAGATTCCTGCCGCTAGCACAGAAGATTGTGTGTTCGTCCCACCAAATTTATATGATGCGACTGCCCCGTAGATCAGTAAGAAAACACGCGGTTCGAATGGTAACAGTGGGTTTTATTCTCGTGTTATTAATACAGCGGGTGTGTGGCTGGGCTGGCCTCGGTATCTCCTTGCTCTGGTTCCACAGGCTGCTGATGTTCCTCGTCCTGGCTTGTCGACGCGTTGACTTGATGACCGCTGGCTCCCGTGTCTCGGGATGCTCGTAGTGGCCGCCTCTGCTCGCTTGTCGACACGCTGCCTCGTGGTCGCACATCGATGTTTCGATGATTTTCAGAAAAAAACATCAATGTGAATCGATACATCGAATTTTTTTTTTGGGTGTAATTTTGAAAAACGTTTTTACTCCATATAACATTATAAACGAATACCACAAATAATCCCAATGTGTAAGATAATTATAAAAAATTATGCTTTATTTGAAATGAGTTTTCTGTTTTGAATTCCTGCACATTCAAAGTGAAACTTAAGCTACTCGTTCAACACAAAAATTTAAATTAAATCACAATTCAATTAAAAATATAATAAACAAGGAAGAACGCTATAGTCGAGCACCTCGACTATCAGATACCCGTTACTCAAAGGGAAATGGAGATATGCAAGCAGCAAAGCGAAATTAAAATGCGCCACCTACCGGCGGTAGACAGATTTAAGCGTTATGGGCGTTAGAGTGGGCGTGGCAAATTTATTTTTGGATCAATCGATAGGTATTGACGACACCAATACATTTCAGTTCAAATTTTTCATCTAGCATCCAAATTGTGGGCGTCACAGGTTTTCGCGGTTTGTGGGCGTTTAAGTGGGCGTGGCAAACTTTT